AAAAAACTATAAAGCAAATGTTGCTTAACACAATGTTTATTTTTATTATATTTGTATTATAAAACAGAATCATTACTGGGCACTACATTGTTACTTGGAGGACAAAAGATACCCTTTTCTGCCTTATACGATGACACGTACCTGCAGCCTGACCCAGAGGAAATCTCAGTGACCCAAGCAGACAAAACAGATGGAAGAGTGCTAAAAAAATATAATTTGTCAAAAAACTATGTTTAATTAAATAGTTTGGTCTGTTCATTTCTTCATTTCCTGAAATAAAATGAATGATTTTGTACACTGCTTTATACATGCACCTTTCAACGTGTAACATATTTTTCATATACATTTCTCACCTTAAGTTGATGCTCATGTGACTTTATCTTTGAAGATGGACCTTATACAGCTACTTTAGAATTTAAAGATAAAAGATTTTGTGATCCAAGAGTAATATTCAAATATGGAAAAGTGCAGTAAATTCTTACACTGCTTGTTAGTTGAGGCAGAAGGAACTTCGTCTGCATGCAAAATAAAAAGAAGCTAAAGCTATCTGACAACAATCACTTACAACAGTGACAGAGTGTGTGGTTTAAGTCAAAAACTCAACCACTGAAAAGCCTTTATTATAGGACACAGCAGTTAGACAGGCCTCTTTCTATTAGCTGCATGTCAGAAAGAATATTCTAGAGTGTTAAATAAAGAGCTCCAGTAATTAAATATTACCTTTTATGATAATGTTTCTGTGTTTAATGACTTTGGACAGAGTTCTAGCTCCAGAAAAATTACAATTTCTATAAGCCTTATTAGTCAACACACATATTGTGGCCTTAAGAAATTAATGGCAAGCCAAGAAAAATAAATGCATGAACTGTTACACAACATACTCAAAAGGATGTTAAAGAGTAGTTTAATTTATCATTACAATAAAATGGAGGGTGGCATGTGTAATTTAATGAACTAATACATTTTCTTATTATTTATTTTTTATTTTCTTATCTATTTCTTATTCTATATTTCTTTCCTTCGTTGAAGTAGATGTGTAATCTCTGTTTTTAAAACCTCCAGCTTCGCCTCTGTAAAGTGCGTTGCCCTTTTTTCTTACCGTGACTTTCTATGGTGACTCGTGAATTCGGCGATCTACTGAAAATGCCTTCAGGTGTGTGCCGTGCACGCGCATTAACCCGCGGTTATCTTCAGGAGGTTGATTTAACTAACTCTTGTCACCTGTTTTGGAACCAACATACTCGCGGTAAGCAGGTTTTGGGTAAATCAACCGAGAGTTTAGGTTTTAGCAGATGGTAAGTTAACCCAGCTTTCTGGAATACCCCCCAGTTAAAAGGCGTTTGCAAGTTTGACCTCTTGATTGACAGCTTCGCCAACCTATTGCAGTGCAAAACAGAGAGAAAAGACATCCTCCGCAGGTTGTGTATTTGTTGTGTATCTGTTTCGAGTGTCTGAGTGGTTGTGATTGACAAATGAGATGCGCGGGTAAAAGCCCGGGGGGCTGTTCCAGATAGCAGGTTATGTGACATACACGGGTAAGTTTGAGAGTAAGTAGGTGGATAACCTCAACTTTGGTTCCAAAATCGGAGGTAACTTCTGGGTATGTTAAGTAGCCATAGCAACTTACTCTCTGAAGATAACCTGCTCCGGAGCAGGTTATGTTCAGAGAGTAAGTTGCTATGTTTCAGAGTTTGTCTGTTTCAGAGAGTTTACTGAGCATTGCGTGCTCTTTTGATGAGAATATTTATGGATGTGGACACACAGATACAAGTTTTTTCGTTGTGAGAGGGTTATAAGTGCATAGTTTTTTTCATAACCAAATTCATAATGTTAATGTATTTAACAAACCTTTTTGAAATCAAATGTGACAAACCGCGGGTCTGCGCTTACCATAAAAAACATTTAGTGCAGCTCTTTGTATTCGCGTCAGGGCATTTTAGGCAACTGTACAATGTGGCAGTAGGACCACCTGTACAGTATGCCTGGCACTGAACTGTTTTTTACACTTTTGTACAGTTCCTTGGTCATAAATCACTGCGTATCATTACACAGATGGTTCAGAGCATGGGAATAGCATAGTGGACAGTGCGTCGATAAAGAACAACGGAGCGCACAACGGAGCGAGTTCGAATCTCACTTATAGATCTTGTGTTTTTTCTCTCCTTCTGCAACCTCACATTTTTCTGTATAATATTATAAGTGGCAGCTTTGTCTTTTGTAGGAAAATATATCTTTAATTTAAGATGTAGGACGTCAGTCTTATATATATATTCACGCACACACACCTACATTTTTTAATATAATATTTTTTTCAGGGTTTCTAAATGCTATTGTGTGCATTAATTGCAGCCGATTTTAAAGCTCCATCAGTCACTAAAGGACACTGATAATATAAAATTTGTCCAAAGTATAAGTGTGCAGGTACAACTTAATTTTCTATCCTTAATCTTTTGGTGTTTCAACTATTAAACTCATTACTGCTTCCACTTACCAGCTCATCACACACCCCACCTCATCACTATATGTTAGGGGTTAGGGTTAGAAGTAATGATTCAAGTGTATAACACAAATAGTGTAAAAAAAAAAAAAAAAAACTATAAAGCAAATGTTGCTTAACACAATGTTTATTTTTATTATATTTGTATTATAAAATAGAATCATTACTGGGCACTATTGTTACTTGCTGGAGGACAAAAGATACCCTTTTCTGCCTTATACGATGACACGTACCTGCAGCCTGACCCAGAGGAAATCTCAGTGACCCAAGCAGACAAAACAGATGGAAGAGTGCTAAAAATATATAATTAGTCAAAAAACTATGTTTAATCAAATAGTTTGGTCTGTTCATTTCTTCATTTCCTGAAATAAAATGAATGATTTTGTACACTGCTTTATACACACACCTTTCAACGTGTAACATATTTTTCATATACATTTCTCACCTTAAGTTGATGCTCATGTGACTTTATCTTTGAAGATGGACCTTATACAGCTACTTTAGAATTTAAATATGTGGATAAAAGATTTTGTGATCCAAGAATAATATTCAAATATGGAAAAGTGCAGAATATTCTTACACTGCTTGTTAGTTGAGGCAGAAGGAACTTCGTCTGCATGCAAAATAAAAAGAACGTAAAGCTATCTGACAACAATCACTTACAACAGTGACAGAGTGTGTGGTTTAAGTCAAAAACTCAACCACTGAAAAGCCTTTATTATAGGAAACAGCAGTTAGACAGGCCTCTTTCTATTAGCTGCATGTCAGAAAGCATATTCTAGAGTGGTAAATAAAGAGCTCCAGTAACTAAATATTACCTTTTATGATAATGTTTCTGTGTTTAATGACTTTGGACAGAGTTCTAGCTCCAGAAAGATTACAATTTCTATAAGCCTTATTAGTCAACACATATATTGTGGCCTTAAGAAATTAATGGCAAGAAAAATAAATGCATGAATGGTTACACAACATACTCAAAAAGGATGTTAAAGAGTAGTTTAATTTATCATTACAATAAAATGGAGGGTGGCATGTGTAATTTAATGAACTAAAAAATTTTCTTATTATTTATTTTTTATTTTCTTATCTATTTCGTATTCTATATTTCTTTCCTTCGTTGAAGCAGATGTGTAATCTCTGTGTTTAAAACCTACAGCTTCGCCTCTGTAAAGTGCGTTGCCCTTTTTTTCTCACCGTGATTTTCTATGGTGACTCGTGAATTCGGCGATCTACTGAAAATGCCTTCAGGTGTGTGCCGTGCACGCGCATTAACCCGCGGTTATCTTCAGGAGGTTGATTTAACTAACTCTTGTCACCTGTTTTGGAACCAACATACTCGCGGTAAGCAGGTTTTGGGTAAATTAACCAAGAGTTTAGGTTTTAGCAGATGGTAAGTTAACCCAGCTTTCTGGAATACCCCCCGGGTGAATAAGATTAACCAATAGGTAACAACAGTTAAATTTAACAGAAGCTGATTTTACATATACACTGGTATTCAGTGGCATAAACTGCAAATGTATTATTTTACATGAAATAATAACATGGAAAAAATGAAAAAATATTATTATGTGATATTTTTAACATGGAGCAATGAAAACAAATGAGAAATATAAGCATTAGCTTTGATTTGGAGTAGTATAAATATAATAAATGATAAATGATCATATATTATCTTTAGTAATTATGCTAGGCTATATTTTCACGATAGTTCTACATTATAAAAGAGTACAAAATAATCACAGAATAAATGTTTCTATAACCTTAATTCAATTTATTATTGTTTTTGAAGCTGCACCTTATGTTAAATGCTTTTATATTGATTTATATTTCTTAAGCTGCACAGGAATACTAATGGGAAAGCTAGAAATACATCAAAATTAAAAAGAAAAGTATCAAATGATTAATTTCTTTGTTTTATGTAAAAATGATTCACTTTATGATGTACCATGGGGTATCAGGGGTCACCACAGCAGAATGAACCACAAATTACTCTGGCATATGTTTTTTTTAAGCAGCAGATGCTCTTCCAGCCACATGTCAGAAATCATTTATTAAATAAACATCTTGTTCCATGAAGATATTTTGTAGGCTAAATTTCCTATACTGTAAATAATAAACCATTTTGTTGTAATGTCCATTGCTAAGCACAGTTTGGACAATTAAAAAAATATTACTTTTAGATTCCAGATATTCAAATATTCTTAGCCAAATACTGTCTAATCATAAAAAAATCATGCATCATAAATTAAAAAATTATTTCTTTCAAGTGGTTTCTAAATATTTGTTTTAATTGGTCCTTATGATTGTTTTTTTTTTTTTTTTTTTTAGTTTAAGAATGCTTTCAAGAATAGCATTTAAAGCAAAAAATGTCCATATTTGTTAATATAATACATTTTTCAGAATAAGTTTTCAATACTTTCACCAGAGATTAAAAGCCCCTGCCAAATCAGCACAGCCTTGTTTGGAACTTCTGATGTAACTTAGCAACGTATTTGAAGGTTGGACAAACACGTCTACATGTTTTGACAACGGTCACCTTTCCACAGCAAGCATGGGCAATACCTAAATAAATTAATCTAAAATAATCTGTTGTTGTTGTTTAAATGGCAGATCCAGAGGTTGACCAAATGACAAGACTGAGACTGAAAATGCTGGAAAAGGTAAGTTTCTTTTGAGTGAAAAGTATTAATTGAGATTTCCATTTTTTCTTGCTAACAACATTCTGTGAAACAAAACTTGTCTACGAAGAGACTAAACATCTTCATGATCATATCATCTGTTTGTTTCTCTAGAGACTGGAGAATGAGAGAAATGACACCACTGAACGAGAGGGTTCTACCCTTTCTACAAGTATGGCGACTGTAGTGATGTTTTTGTGTATTTTGATTTTTCTTTGACTCCCTGACCTAAAATTTGGTCCCGAGCTGCTTTCTTTAAACCCAAAAATGAAAAGAATAATAATAATAATAATAGTTACCAGCCTGCCTGATTTTATTAGCTCAATGGTTTATTTCAATAAAAAATAAAAGTATACAAGTATGCTGAAAATACAGTTTAAATAATTAATTGTTTGTTTGTTTATTATTTTACAGGAAGTAATTATGGGCATGCAGATGCATTACATAGCGCTCTGAGAAGGAAGAGAAACCTCTTAAAGAAACTGAGGGTGGTGTTTCACTTGAATACTACATTTAAATTAGAATACTTGTAGTGCTGTTACACATTTAATTGCGACTAATTGCAGACAAAGTAAAAGTTTTCGTTTGCAAAAAATTTTTGTGTGTACATTAAAATCATAAAAACATTAATAAATACCTCAGGCTTATTTTACAAGAGGTTATTTTAGTAAACGTGGCCATGATTAATTGTTAAACTGTCCAAAATTTTTTACAAAGTTAATTTCAGATGATTAAAACAAAGGCAGTCTTACACAGTGTCATTTAAATAGTAACAAGAAGCATTCTATAATGTAAATCACAAATACAACTGATAAAAATATCTGTAAATTTTCCATATTTTGTGATTTATGTTTTTACTGAATCACAAAAAATCAATAAAAGAATGATTTTTTTTGTTTGTTTTTATTTTTCCACATTATATTTTTATGCTTTTGAATTGCATTATGGGCCATCCTTTTCTCCAACAACATTTAACCTTGAAAAGCTTAAAGAAAAGTCACTTTTATTACTTTTTTATTAGTTTAAAGTGATTTATTTTCTGGGATGGTGTTGTAAATTATGGTACAAAAACCTTGTATTAAACTGCTGGTATACATTTTTTGTTATTTTACATACTTTTTTCTCGATATATTATTTCTCATACATTGCATTTTTTTAAACTACTAAAATGTAAGTAAAAGTCACTTTGTTAAACTGTAGAGTTGAATTTTCAACATCAAAAGTGGATAGAGCAGAGATCAAGGTTCCAAAATGGAATTCACAACCGCAAATAAACTTGTGAATTACTAAATATGGAAATTGATGATTAACAGATAATTTTTACAGTGTAGATGTGTTTATATGTGTGCAACAGGAACAACATCTGATGGAGGATCTGGAAAGGCCACACACATGGGGTGGATCTCATAGACAAAATCATTATAAACCTCTATATGGGCCACTCCAGCCTGTGCCTCCCATCCACATTTACCAAAATGCACCATCTGAACATCAACCTCTACTCCCACCATCTGTCCCGCAGGCCCCTCGAATCATTCAACACACTGTAGGAAATGTTTTTTATTCACTTTTTTTTCACTTTTAGGAACTTTTATTTTTACCGGTACAAACATGCACAGATTATCTACTATTCCAGCTCATTTAAAGGGGACCTATTATGCAAAAATCCCTTTTGTTAGGGGTTCAAACACAGTTGTGACAACAGTCCATAATTATATCCAGCTTCTAATGGTAAAATGTAAAAGCCCCGCCCATTAGTGATGATCTCTCCCTCATTAGCATAGGAGATTAGTCTTGTTTTAGAATCTACCACTATACTGACACATAGGCATGTGTAGCTCCGCCCTCTTTTGAAAAACAACACAAGCTCATTTGAATTTAAAGCGACACTTACCAAAATGGTACAATTAGGATCAAATCCTATAATGGGAAGTTTCAGAGAGTTGAGCTGGAACTTCACTTACACACTCTGGGCATGTCAGAGACTATTAAATCTTGTAAAAAGTAGCATAATAGGTCCCTTTAATGTTAGCTATTCTAAAATGTACATTTTGTGTGCCTGTTGAATATAACTTTTATTTCATCTTCCACAAGATTCCCCAACAGCCATCTACCATTATCCAGCAGTTACCTCAGCAGCAGCCTCTTATCACACAAATCCCACCACCACAAACTTTGCCCTACAGATCAGGAAGCATTAAAGAAGGTATGCATAAAATACAGAAAGAAACAACCAATATTAGCCAATAAAGGAATTGTTTGGAATCAGTATGCACCTCATTAGACTTGAAATTTACTACCTTTAAAAGCCTTTAAAACAGTGAGTTCCTTATTATACAGTGTTGGGTAGTAACATAGTGTATGTAATTAGATTACAATATTCTGTACTTACGATTACATTTTAAACGCTGATAATTTAATTACGGTTGCTTTTCTAAAATTCTTCTTTGATTTAATTATTACAAATGTTTTACACAATAGCATATAGCCACAAAGATTTGAAATTATTTTTCAGTAATTGAATTTTTTTTCCAATTGGTTCCAATATGGATTAATGGTCACAGTTAATCAGGTAATAATATATTTCAGATATATCAAAACTAGGTTTTAAAATTTTTTATGGGGTGGGAGGTATTTAGTTTATATTCTTACAGATGTATTCATTTTAATATTCACCTGCATATTTAAAGCATTTCGTAATGTTGATAACAAAGAGTTAAAGATTTTATTTCTCTTTGATCAAATATAAAAAAAGTTTGAATAATAGGGATACGTCGATACTGATACTGTACTGATATAGGTACTGGGATTAATACTTCTAAAACACGCCATCACCAGACAGATACTTTTAAAATTGTTTTACAATTAAACAACACTGAACATTGTTACACTGAAACATTTTTTCAGTGAAGTCATTTGTTAGTTTTGTAGTTTTTTGCAACTTGTTTATAGGATGATAAAGAATCAATATTATTATTATTATTTCATTAGTGAATTCAGGTCATTTAAGACATTTTTTGCCATTGAGATGACTAAAAAAATATCCCAATTGACCTAAATTGCGAAAAATAATTTCTGCTACTTTGTAAGAAACACCTTTTGTTCATAATTACAGAGAAGCTATCGCAAAAAATATTTAGCCTTACTGTCATATTTGGCACATCCCATAAAAGTACAGGTATTGGTATCAAGTACCATGAAAAAAATGTCATTACCTGGTCTTTATGGTATGAATGCAGTAGCTAAAAGCAACCAAAATGTAATCTAAAAGCACTCAAAATACATAATCTAATGTTATTTTCTACTATTTTCATCATGTAATCTGTAGTCAGTTTCAGACTATAAAGAAGATTTTTTTAAGAGATTGACTGTTTTTTTTAGCAAGGACACACTAAATCTGATTTTTTTTGTAAAAGTTAAATATAAAATGTAAACACATTATATAATTTTACAAAAAATGTACAGCTGAAGTCAGAATTATTACCCCCCTGAATTATTTGCCCCTCTTGTTTATTTTTTCCCCAATTTCTGTGTAACGGAGAGCAGATTTTTTAACACATTTCTAAACATAACAGTTTTAATAATTCATTTATAATAACTGATTTATTTTATCTTTGCCATGATGACAGTAAATAATATTTCACTACATATTTTTAAAGACACTTCTATACAGCTTAAAGTGACATTTAAAGGCTTAACTGGGTTAATTAGGTTAACTATGCAGGTTAGGGTAATTAGGCAAGTTATTGTATAACGATGGTTTGTTCTGTAGACTATCGAAAAAAAATATATAGCTTAAAGGGGCTAATAATTTTGTCCTTAAAATGGTGTTTAAAAAATTAAAAACTGCTTTTATTCTAGCCGAAATAAAAACAAATAACACTTTGTCTAGATTAAAAAATATTATCAGACATACCGTGAACATTTTCTTGCTCTGTTAAACATCATTTGGGAAATATTTAAAAAAGAAGAAAAAATTCAAAGGGGGCTAATAATTCTGACATCAACTGTACTTCAAGTAAATGATTTTACTCTTTCTGTTTATTGAAAAATTCCAAAAATGTTAATGTTAAGCATATAAGAGAGAAAAAAAAAACATTTTAAAAATCTCACCAACCCCAGCATTTTGCGAAGTAATATACAGTTGAAGTCAGAATTTTTAGCCCCCTTCGATTTTTTTTCTTCTTTTTAAAATTTTTTCCTTGAAAAATATCTAGTAAAATATTATTTACAGTCATCATGGTAAAGATAAAATAAATCAGTTATTAGAAATGAGTTATTAAAATTATTATGTTTGTAAATGTGTTGAAAAAAAATCTTCTCTCCGTTAAACAGAAATTGGGGAACAAATAAACAAGCGGTCTAACAATTTAGGGGGGCTAATAATTCTGACTTCAACTGTAAGTAGTCATTTAGGTTGAAACATCAATAGCCAATATGAAATTATTAAAATATACACAAAACTAAACAACAGTTCAAGATTAAAGTTAAGCAAACTTCATCATTGTTATAATTCCAGACATGGTGGAGCTGATGCTCATGCAGAATGCTCAGATGCACCAGATCATCATGCACAATATGATGCTGAAGGCTCTTCCACCAATGGCCATGTTGCCAGAAGGAAACCCCAGTCAAGTCACATCTCTAGCCTCACATCCAGGGCAGGTAACCTGGATCTGTTGTGTACTACAGAAGTCAAGGAAATTTGACTCAGTATGTTAATTTAATATTGTTATTAGGAACATTATTCAACATCCAGAGGAGGAGCTGTTCATCATCACCATTATTATGGCTCCCAGAGTCCACCTCTGCCTCCAATAGGCTACACTGGTTGGCCTTCTTTTATGCCAGCAGGACAAGGAGGGACTTTTCTGCCACATGGGATTGGTTCTGTAACTCTGCCCCCCTTAAACACGTAAGAAACAACAGTGTAAAACTTCCTACTCTGCTAGTTGTGTTAAAAATACCTCGACATAAAACCTAACAATAGGTTATTATACACTCTCAGAAAAAAAGGTACAATGAGGGTACAATTTTGTTCCTAGAGGGAACAAAATATAAAATTGTACCTTTAAAGGTCCCATATTGGTCCTTAGGGTACAATTTTGTACCCAAATGGGCTATAAAGGTACAAATGTCCAGATTTAGGTTTGAAAGGTACATTTTTGTACCTTTTATAGCACATTTGGATCCAAAATTGTACCGTAAAGGACCAATTTGGCACCTTTAAAGGTACAATTATATATTTTGTTTCCCTATAGGAACAAAATTGTACCCTCAGCTCATGATAAGATCAAGACACTATATAACACTAATTTAAATGTATTAATACTAAACATTAATACTAAAATACATAATTTAAAAATATAATAAATTAATAAATTGATTGAATTAAATATTTTAATAATTAATTTTTTTTTCATGTATTTTAATTACATTTTTTCTCACAAATGTTAATAATTTAATTTATAATTGAATGTAATTTTAATCATTAAAAACGTAAATACTGGTCTTTGCTTATTGTTTAAGACCCTTTAGTTTATGGGATGTAGAATAAGAACCATGCAGAGTGACAGCATCTTCATACAGGTGGTGATGTTGCTGTCTCTTTAAGAATTTGGCTTGTTGAGACGTTATAGTAGTGTTTGTTACTGAGGCGGTCGGTAGAGTATGCTGGCTGTTTACACAGAACTTCGCACGCTTTTCAAAGAAAAGTCTATTTTGGAGTCCACACTTATCAGGTAAGAATGCATTAAAGATATATTTTCAGTCTCATTTTTACATGTGAAGCCGTGTTCTGTTGATTTTGTCTGACTCTCGGGTCTCGGCTTTCCCCCGCTTTAAGTGCTCCGGGCTGGCCTGCAGGATGGAGTTTGCTAAGATGTCTGCAGCTTATTAAAGAAGTTAATACAATGTGATATCGAAGTCACCGAGGGACATAACGTTATAGACGGTGAGTACTATATGCTGTTAGTTTTCTCACTGCGGTCAAGCCAGCCGCGGTTCGGAAAAACACAGTCAAGCCAGCCGCGCTTTATATTTCGGTGCGCGCGTATTACTATCATTACGGTAATGTCAGCAGCCACACAGAGAGCGCTCCACAGAGCACCCATTTCGCCCAGAACAGAGAGATAACAACGAAATATAAGTTTATCCCCCTTTCCTCCCACGTATGCTTTATTAAACAATTTATTAGCTTTTTTGACTGTTGTTATTTTAAGAAATTGGTTTCTGGGCTTACCTTTAATTTCCTCAAGTCTATCTTTTTGCTTCAAATGATTTTATAGCAGATCAAACGGACAGAATAAATATACGATTTCTAAACACCCAGAATGCGTTTTTATTTCCCCTAGCCAACTACAGTACATTGCAAATAAGGTTGAATGCAATTTTATACAACGTGCCTAGCCTCAGAAAGTGAAAATAATCATAAAGTAGTCCAACATAGCATTGTTTAAGTTACAAATATATGTTGGTTTTATTTAAAGGGGATTTAAAAATGTATGCTTCTTTCAGTATATGGGATATGGGGCATTATTACACTTTAGATGACTGTAAAGACCTTATTATTTGTTATAAGTAGAATAGAACAACAATAAAATCTGATGCAGGAAGTCAAATACTAAGCATACATCATATGAAGCCTGTTTTACTGCAGCATTTTGGAGAAATGTACCATTAACACACTTTAAAGTGCTATAAAGAAATAAGTAGAAAAAAAACAAAGTTTGGTTCTGATACAGGATGTACATGAATACCTCATGTGAAAGACCTCATTTAAGTAAACAGAAGAAAACTATGGACAGGACATCCAATATTATATGCATACCTCATAATAACTTACTGCAGCATTTTGGAGAAATGAGCTATTAATGAGCTATAAAGTCTTTAAAGTTATATAAATACATTGTTTGGAATAAGTTAAATAAAAGAGTGATCAGGTCTGATACTAGATGTCCCATGCTATATGCATATATACAACATATGAATCCTTTTTACTGCAGCAATTTGGAAAAAAAATTGCTCATTTAAAAGATGTAGAAAAAAAAAACAATAGTCAGGTCTTATACAGGTCATCCCATACTAAACCTCATATAAAGACTTGTTACTGCAGCGTTTTGGAGAAATTGGGCAATAACATTACTCAAAGTGTTATGAAGACCCAATTTTCAATAAATAGACAAAAAACAATGATCAGTTCCTGTACAGAACATCACATACAATATGCATACTACATATAAACACTTCTTACTCCAGCAATCTGGAGAAGTGGGACATTAACATAATATAAAGTGTTATAAAGACCCCATTTCGATTAAGTAGAAAGAAACAATGGTCAGTTCTTATTCAGGACATCCCATACTATATGTGTACTTCACATGAAATCTTTTTTACTGCAGCGTTTTGGAGAAACTGGGTATTAACCTATTATAAAGTGATATAAAAACCCCATTTCTAATAAGTAGAAAAAAACAATGGACAGTTCTTATACAGGACATCCCATACTATATATGTACTTCACATGAAGCGTTTTTACTGCAGCATTTAAAAAAAAACGGGGTATTAACATAATATAAAATACTATAAAGACCACATTTTAAATAGGTAGAAAAAATCTATGGTCAGTTCTTATACAGGACATCCCATACTATATGTGTACTTCACATGAAACCTTTTTACTGCAGTGTTTTGGAGAAATTGTATATAATATATTTCAAAGTGTTCTAAAGACCCCAATTCAAACAAGTAGAAAAAAACAATGGTCAGTTCCTATACAGGACATCCATACTATATATCTGTACTTCACATAAAACTTTTTTACTGCAGCATTTTGGAGAAATGGGGTATTAAAATAATACAAAGTGCTATAAAGACCTCATTTCAAATAAGTAGAAAAAAACAATGGTCAGTTATAGTACAGGACATCCCATACTATGTGTGTACATTACATGAAACCTTCTTACTGCACTGTTTTGGAGAAATGAGGTATTAACACAACAAAGCGATATAAAAACCCCACTTCAAATAAGTAGAAAAAAACAATGGTCGGTTCTTATACAGGACATCCCATACTAAATATGTACTTCACATGAAACCTTTTTACTGCAGCATTTTAGAGAAACGGGGTGTTAACATAGAAAAAAAGTACTATAAAGTCCCCCTTTCAAATAAGTAGAGAAAAACAATGGTCAGATCTTATACACGACACCCTTATCTCTGTGTGTACTTCACATGAAAGCTTTTTACTGCAGCATTTTAAAGACACGGGGGAATTAACATAGTATAAAGTAATATAAGGACCCCGTTTTAAATAAGTAGAAATAAACAATGGTCAGTTCTTATACAGGACATCCCGTAATATATGTGTACTTCACATTAAAAATTCTTACTGCAATGTTTTGGAGAAATTGTATATTAATATGATTTAAAGTGTTACAAAGACCCCATTTTTAATAAGCAGAAAAAGACAATGGTCAGTTCTTACATAGGACATCCCATACTATGTACTTGACATAAAACTTTCTTACTGCACTGTTTTGGAGAAATGGGGTATTAACATAATATAAAGTACTATAAAGACCCCATTTCCAATAAGTAGAAAGAAACAATGGTCAGTTCTTATTCAGGACATCCCATACTACATGTGTACTTCACATAAAAACTTTTTACTGCACTGTTTTGGAGAAACGGGGTAATAACCTGATATAAAGTGCTATAAAGACCGCATTTCAAATAAGTAGAAAAAAACAATAGTCAGTTCTTATACAGGACATACCATACTATATGTGTACTTCACATGAAACCTTTTTACTGCAGCATTTTGGAGAAAGGGGGTATTAACATAATATAAAAGTGCTATAAAGACCCCATTTCAAATAAGTAGAAAAAGTCAATGGTCAGTTCTTATACAGGACATCCCATACTATATCTGTACTTCACATGAAATCTATTTACTGCAGCGTTTTGGAGAAAGGGGGTATTAACATAATATAAAGTGCTATAAAGACCGCATTTCAAATAAGTAGAAAAAAACAATGGTCAGTTCTTATACAGGACGTCCCATACTATATCTGTACTTCACATGAAACCTTTTTACTGCAGCATTTTGGAGAAAGGGGGTATTAACCGAATATAAAGTGCTTTAAAGACCCCATTTCAAATAAGTAGAAAAAAACAATGGTCAGTTCTTATACATGACATACCATACTATATATGTACTTCACATGAAACCTTTTTACTGCAGCATTTTGGAGAAACGGGGTAATAAGCCAATATAAAGTGCTATAAAGACCGCATTTCAAATAAGTAGAAAAAAACAATGGTCAGTTCTTATACAGGACATCCCATACTATATGTGTACTTCACATGAAAACTTTTTACAGCAGCATTTTGGAGAAAGGGGGTATTAACATAATATAAAGTGCTATAAAGACCCCATTTCAAATAAGTAGAAAAAAACAATGGTCAGTTCTTATACAGGACATCCCATACTATATGTGCACTTCACATGAAACATTTTTACTGAAGCGTTTTTGGGAAACAGGGTATTAACATATGATAAAGTGCTATAAAGAGCCCATTTCCAATAAGTAGAAAAAAACAATGGTCAGTTCTTACAAAGGACATCCCATACTATGTACTTGACATGAAACTTTCTTACTGCACTGTTTTGGAAAAATGGGGTAATAACATAATATAAAGTACTATAAAGACCCCATTTCCAATAAGTAGAAAGAAACAATGGTCAGTTCTTATTTAGGACATCCCATACTATATGTGTACTTCACATAAAAACTTTTTACTGCACTGTTTTGGAGAAACGGGGTAATAACCTAATATAAAGTGCTATAAAGACCGCATTTCAAATAAGTAGAAAAAAACAATGGTCAGTTCTTATACAGGACGTCCCATACT